AGAGAGAGAGAGAGAGAGAGAGAGAGAGAGAGTTTTCAATTTTCTACCAATCTTCTTTTTGGTGTTCAATCGATTCAAATTAAGATAAAAACAAATTGAAAATAAGTTTTGATTTCCTCATTACTGTTTGAATAAAAAATTAATCACACTGTTGGTTTTTAAAAACACATTTTCTTATCATATTTTATTAATAAAATGTTTAAATATATAAATGTTATTAAAATGTGTTTTTGTTGTTTTTCACAGCCATTACATTAACTGATTTTTTAAATATAATAATTATTTAATAAAATTAATGCTTAATCGGAAAAGAATTGATTATAAAATTTTAGAATAACAATAAAATAGCAATAATAGGCACATAGTATGTAATAACACACAAATTGATTACAAATTCACTAAAACTATAAGTAATTATAATAAGTATTATCGAAGAAAATACATGTAATATAAACTTCATATGTATTGTATGTATATATTCTTTCATATGTATAAATATTTAGGGCCACAGCTTTCATAATAACATATAAGGCACTGAATGGCACTCAAAAAATACAAATTCATTCAATTAATTTCATATAAACACAATGTATTGGAATCTCACATCATATGATTTCTATGGCATTTCATTTGCGATTTAATCAAATGGTAACTAATTTATGGCATTATTTCAGTTTTGATACGCGAATAATGTATTTACAAAAATTCATTGAATTACGAAATACAAGAATTATATGAATGAGTCTTTATATAAAAGCGCCAGAAAAAAATAATCGTTGAATTCTCTACTAATCAACTAATATATTGTAATAATAATAATAATTGTGATCGTTTAGAAAAAATGTAATCAAAGGATTTGACACTTTTTCTTGGATTTTTGTTTCTTCATTTGCCGGATGGGCGGTCTCTCCAGTTGTTGGAATTTTCTGCATTCAAAACAAATCACCAATTAATTGATTGTTTGCCAACAATAGTGGAGGTGTGGGGAGAGAGGGGGTTGTGATATACCTGACGAGTCGGACGGTGTCGTGGAAGGCCACGTCCACATTCATGCGGAGCTTTGCGCTCACCTCCAGGTATGGAATTTTTAATTGTTGGCCCAATTGTTGCACTTCTGACTGCGATATCTGTTTTTGAAATAATAAATTCAGTGATTAGTTAAGCGGTAAATGCGTGTAACGTATAGTTGACGGACCACTCGTTGGTGTTCGAGATCACATTTGTTCGCCACTAACATCATAGGAAACTCGTCCCTGTCTTTCACCCGAAGGATCTGTTTGTGAAACTTATAGATCTCTTCGTAACTGTTTCTGTCGGTTAACGAAAACACTAACAGAAATCCCTCTCCGGAACGCATGTATTGCTCTCTCATTGCACTGTATTTTTGGGATTCAATGACAAATATTTTGTTAAATAACAAAATTAAACACAAATTTTTGAATGTAAAACTTGAGAAATACCTGAACTCTTCCTGTCCGGCGGTATCCAAAACTGTACATTCATTTAGATATCAAAAAAATATATTCATTAATTCAAATCAAAATGTTTTTCAATCAAAATAATTATTTGGAAAAGAATTTTGAATTTTTTCGCAAAAAGTGGTCAAACAGTATCACAAGAAAAGGATGTCTTCACTATTTTTATGGCAAAAATTCTAATTAATTATCTGAGAATTAAATGTAAATTTTTCTAATGATTCAAAAAACTGATCGTCAAATTAATTGTAATAGTTGTTAGTTTAAGTACTATTAGATCGCAAATCCTAATCATTTTCAGCTCCTAATCATCAATTAGTGAGTGAACTCACGTTTAGATAATTTACTTTAAAATAAATAAAACAAACTTAATTACATATAAAAAATCACAGTAAGTATTGATTTCCATTCAATTATAATTCAATTTTACGATATTTTTGATTATCAGATTTAACTGTATTTTATGCAAACGTTAAAGCACTCAAATATTATTAAATTATTGTTAATTAATAATTGTTTGCCAAACATAATCCATANATACTGTAGTCTTTGAATTTACTTTCTCGTTCGGATAAAATAAACAAAAATTTTAGATAACAATCTGCCATGCTCATAATTCATAAATGCATTTATTGATTATAAAGTTAAGTTTATCTGAGACAAGTCAAGCATTAATTCCATTATGATCTCTATCTGTATATTAATTGTAATACAGTTAGCTTTAAGAGAGAGAGAGAGAGAGAGAGAGTTTTCAATTTTCCACCAATCTTCTTTTTGGTGTTCAATCGATTCAAATTAAGATAAAAAGAAATTTAAAATAAGTTTTGATTTCCTCATTACTGTTTGAATAAAAAATTAATCACTCTCGGTTAAACACATATTCTTATCATATTTTATTAATAAAATGTTTAAATATATAAATGTTATTAAAATGTATTTTTTGTTGTTTTTCACAGCCATTACATTAACTGATTTTTTCATATAATAATTATTTAATAAAATTAATGCTTAATCGGAAAAGAATTGATTATAAAATTTAAGAATAACAATAAAATAGCAATAATAGGCACATAGTATGTAATAACACACAAATTGATTACAAATTCACTAAAACTAAGTAATTATAATAAGTATTATCGAAGAAAATACATGTAATATAAACTTCATATGTATTGTATGTATATATTCTTTCATATGTATAAATATTTAGGGCCACAGCTTTCATAACATATAAGGCACTGAATGGCACTCAAAAAATACAAATTCATTCAATTAATTTCATATAAACACAATGTGTATTGGAATCTCAAATAATATGATTTCTATGGCATTTCATTTGCGATTGAATCAAAATGGTAACTAATTTATGGCATTATTTCAGTTTTGATACGCGAATAATGTATTTACAAAAATTCATTGAATTACGAAATACAAGAATTATATGAATGAGTCTTTATATAAAAGCGCCGGAAAAAAATAATCGTTGAATTCTCTACTAATCAACTAATATATTGTAAATAATAATAATAATAATAATTGTGATCGTTTAGAAAAAATGTAATCAAAGGATTTGACACTTTTTCTTGGATTTTTGTTTCTTCATTTGCCGGATGGGCGGGCGCTCCAGTTGTTGGAATTTTCTGCATTCAAAATAAATCACTCATTAATTGATTGTTTGCCAGCAATAGTGGAGGTGTGGGGACTCTCTCCCCCAACACTATATGGACTGCTCAGCCTGCCACAGCACCTTCCGGTGCAGGTGTAAGTACGCCTCGAAACGCGAGTGGAGGTCCATACCTTAAAAATTAACAACCGGGTTAACAACGTGATCTGACTGCGATATCTGTTTTGAAATAATAAATTCAGTGATTAGTTAAGCGGTAAATGTATGCAACGTATAGTTGACGGACCACTCGTTGGTGTTCGAGATCACATTTGTTCGCCACTAACATCATAGGAAACTCGTCCCTGTCTTTCACCCGAAGGATCTGTTTGTGAAACTTATAGATCTCTTCGTAACTGTTTCTGTCGGTTAACGAAAACACTAACAGAAATCCCTCTCCGGAACGCATGTATTGCTCTCTCATTGCACTGTATTTTTTGGGATTCAATGACAAATATTTTGTTAAATAACACAAATTGAACACAAATTTTTGTAATTTAAAACTTGAGAAATACCTGAACTCTTCCTGTCCGGCGGTATCCAAAACTGTACATTCATTTAGATATTAAAAAATATATTCATTAATTCAAATCAAAATGTTTTTCAATCAAAATAATTATTTGGGAAAGAATTTTGAATGTTTGGCAAAAAGTGGTCAAACAGTATCACAAGAAAAGGATGTCTTCACTATTTTTATGGCAAAAATTCTAATTAATTATCTGAGAATTAAATGTAAATTTTTCTAATGATTCAAAAAACTGATCGTCAAATTAATTGTAATAGTTGTTAGTTTAAGTACTATTAGATCGCAAATCCTAATCATTTTCAGCTCCTAATCATCAATTAGTGAGTGAACTCACGTTTAGATAATTTACTTTAAAATAAATAAAATAAACTTAATTACATATAAAAAATCACAGTAAGTATTGATTTCCATTCAATTATAATTCAATTTTACGATATTTTTGATTATCAGATTTAACTGTATTTTATGCAAACGTTAAAGCACTCAAATATTATTAAATTATTGTTAATTAATAATTGTTTGCCAAACATAATCCATAGCATTATTATAGCAGGATTACCAGTAAAGCTCTAATGCAATAAATCTTAATATAGTTTAATTAAATCACTTATAAGTTATACAACTTTGCAATAATGTTGAGGACCAGTCAATTGGAGACCATTATCAACATTTAAAAGCTATTAATTAGTTTACTGTAACTCCAAAGGCATTAAAGTTAAACATTATTAATATTACTTAATGTTGACTGAATTGGACCTCAAAATTGTTGCAAAAAATGTCATTTTTCAATACAAGTGATCATTAAATAAAATTCCCAAAACCTATGATTAGCTCAATAAAAAATACAGTATAAAAAATATAACAGACTTTCCTGTCGTCAAAACTATAGCAAAACTTAATGCACTTTTAATAACTCAATTAAATGTATGTCAATTCATATTTTGCGATATTTAAAAAAATTGTACACAATTTTAGCTCAAAAATTGCAACACAATATGTTATAGAAATGTTTGACAACTCTTTAAAGTAAATTCAAATTACAGATAGAGTTAAAAATATATGCGAAAAGTTGTATGAAATAAATAATGGTATATAAAAGGGATGACAGACTGTCGAGTCGGGCGACCACGTCGTCGATCACACATTGTTTGGTATACGAGTCCTCAATAGTCGGGTCGTAATCAGTGACGAAATACGACTAAACAAATCAATATAATTATAACACGCGTTAAAATCAAACACTTTTTGTTTTGTCTATGAAAGCAATGCATTAAAAGATAAATTTGCATTCATCTCAAACCCACTCACACGCCCCCTCTCTCTCTCCGTCTCTCTCTCTCTCTCTCTCTCTCTCTCTCCGTCTCTCTCTCTCTCTCTCTCTCTCTCGGTGTTCAATATATAGATTTAATTCACAGTTTGATTGCATTTAAATTGACTAAAAGTTTGAATATTTCTGCCATTCGTTACTTTTGAGCGCTTTTGCGAACAAAACACTGCAAAATATAGACTTCAGACAGACTTCAAAATTGGTGTCAAACCAGACATTTGAGACAATTGTCTGCATTTATATCAAAACACTAATTATGAAACCTTGACTCTGAAAACATGTTTTACATTTTCAAACATGTAAATTAAGAAACAATGCATTTAAATTTGCAATATTTGCAGCAACAGGCGCATATCGCATTGAATGAGCTAGCACATATTATATAGCCATAAGATGGTAAAATGCAATTAAAATGGTAATTACTTGAATGAATTGAATGGTGAGCGCAGACTTGCCGACACCACCGCCGCCCACAACCACTAACTGACAGCAAAAATAAATGAAAAGTTAGCATAAGTTGTCATAAATACATAAATACATCGACAATACAAGTGTCATATCATAGCATATGATAGAGAAATGGCTAATGAATGGCAATAAATGGTCAGTACTTTATATGTTTGACTGAAGCTCTGGTTTTCGTGATTTCGTGACATCTTTTTCGACAACACTTTTCGCACAAAACAAAATACAAAACAATAAAAACTTTTCGCACTTTTTCTCCGCAAACAAAACAATCGGTGTTTTTAAATAACAAGTGATTTATGTATTCATTCGCTAAACGTGTAAATGATTTGTCAGTTCACTCATCGAATGCACTGTTGATTAGATGAGAGAAAAACAATGCATTTAAAGGCAATCGATAGCTAATGAGTGATGAGTAAAAGTGACACACAATCAGTGCATTGAATAGCCGTTAAAACGCGAGTTGTATTCAATGTGTGAATATTTGGTTGCATTTGAGTGTCATTTCATTAATTGCCAACAATTTAGTAGACATTCAGTGAATCAGTCATTCATTCAATTCATGCAAACATTCGCTGACTGTATGTCACAAAAGAGAGACACTCTCTCTGTCTGTCACTATTGCCAGTGTAGAGGTGCTCGCAGTGGTGTACAGGTGTTCGCCTCCCCGCACGCTCGCAAACAGTCCGCTAGAGTTCACTACACTCTCAATACATAGCAAATGCACGGCTTGTCTATGGCATAGGCGGGGGTCAGTGGGCAGTGTAGGAGGTTTGGGTGGGTTCATGGCATGGGTGGGGCATTGCATACAGTTGGGTGTGTTTTGTGGTATTTGTATGATGGTTAATTTTATTTATTATATAAGTTTGTATAAATTAAAATTTTGCTGACAATACCAAAATAAAGTTTTATAATTATATTCTTGAATCTTATAATAATATTCTTTGAATACATGGGAATAATTGAATAATTTAAAAACAAAACCCCTTTTGAATTAATAAAATAAGTAATCGTTTAATTATATAATTGCTTAGAAAGCATGAAATAGAAATAAAACAGTTTAGGGAAAGTTTAAATTGTATTGAATGGCAGAATATATGATAAAACAGCAAATATTTATCACGATATTTGGTATAATGTGCGGAATTCTACAATAAATAATTAAATTTTCGCAAAATTTAATATATTTGTCTACAAATATGTCGCTATTTCTATATATAGTAATAGATCCTGTTTAAAAATAAATGTAATTATTTTTAAAATTATAAGCAAATATTATGTGCATTTGTTTATTAATTAAATTCACATCTGTTTTGCAACTCTATGATCATAATATGACGAGCATTTAATTATTACACTTATATTGATTTACGTATATTTCTGTAGTATATTTTTAGTTTTCATGTAAATTCTTGTAATTTATAAAATTTTGTATTTATAGAAATTCTTTAAAAATAACTTCTTATTCAATAAACAGTATATAATTTAGTAGTCGTTAGTACAGTATAGTCACGTTAATATAGTGTAGTGTTTGATCTATAGATACAATTTTAATGATTACAGTTATAAATATTTTATTACCATTTTTCATATACTGCGTAAAATTTTAAAATGATTAAAAATAATTTTTCATGGTCTAACATCTTATTTAATAAGAATCTTATTATGAATTATACTGTAGTTTATAGTTGTTTTATACATTTATTAATATTAACCTGTACACATTTTTAAGTGCTCATGAATTTATAAGCAATAAAACATTTAATCAATTTTTATTAACTAAAGAAAAATAAAAATTATTTTTATACAAATATTAATTTCAATGATTGTTTTAAATATCGGATATTAAACATTAAGATAAGTTTAAATTTTTGTAATATAATGTACAGCACATTGTATTTGATTTACTGTAATTATAATTAAACGAAGAATTCTAACAATTCTAGTAATAAACATATAACATATAATATTAAAACATAAATTTATAAATTTTACATGAATTTTGAAAACATGTTATTAGTCATATTTAATTGACTAATTTATTAAATTTAACTACATTCCATAATTATCTCCCATTTAACGAACTGTTGATACAATTAAATCAAATGATGTGATAAAACATTAGTGAAAAGTATCGATACATTTGGCACTATGTGAGCACAAGGACTATCATCTCATAGACTGTGG